AATGATGATTAAACTGTCATTCTCCACTGACACAGATCAGAAAGGCAAATTCTCTCGTACACAGTAAAAAAAAACAAAAAAAAAACTGAGCGACATTTTTTTCTGAATATTTTTTCTAAGTGTCAATTTTACTCTGTTTAGACTGCAACCACATAAAGTAAATACATAAATAAATAAACCTGTTTCATTTTTGTCGGTCGGTCGTTCGTCTTTATTTATTTTAGATATTATATATTTTATTTATATACTGTAGAGTTATAGTGTTATTTAAGTGTTTACCAAGTGAACAACTCAGATTGATATCTTTCATGTTGATTTATGGTGCATTTGACTTTATTTTAGTGTTGGCCTAAAGTATTTTGTTGTTTGTAATACAGATAAATTTATTGCTTGTGTTTGTTTGGGAAGAGGACCTTGAAAAATAATCGCACCCGACATAGATCGGAAAGGCAAATTCTCTCGTACACAGTAAAAAAAAGACACTTTGAGCAACATTTTTTTTCTGAATATTTTCTTCGAAGTGTCAATTTTACTCTGTTTTGACTGGGACCACATAAAGTAAATAAATAAATAAATAAACCTGTTTCATTTTTGTCGGTCGGTCGTTAGGCTTTATTTATTTTAGATATTATACTGTAGATGTATATTTTATTTATATACTGTAGAGTTATAGTGTTATTTAAGTGTTTACCAAGTGAACAACTCAGATTGATATCTTTCATGTTGATTTATGGTGCATTTGACTTTATTTTAGTGTTGGCCTAAAGTATTTTGTTGTTTGTAATACAGATAAATTTATTGCTTGTGTTTGTTTGGGAAGAGGACCTTGAAAAATAATCGCACCGAATCGCAATATTGAGGGCATAAAAAAATTAAAAAATAAATAAAAACTTTCAGCTGTCGAATTAACCATGAGATTGCATGGTGACCTGCAGGAAGTAAATAAATAAATAAATAAACCTGTTTCATTTTTGTCGGTCGGTCGTTAGGCTTTATTTATTTTAGATATTATACTGTAGATGTATATTTTATTTATATACTGTAGAGTTATAGTGTTATTTAAGTGTTTACCAAGTGAACAACTCAGATTGATATCTTTCATGTTGATTTATGGTGCATTTGACTTTATTTTAGTGTTAGCCTAAAGGATTTTGTTGTTTGTAATTCAGATTAATTTATTGCTTGTTTGGGAAGAGGACCTTGAAAAATAATCGCACCGAATCGCAATATTGAGGACATAAAAAAAATAAAAAAATAAATAAAAACTTTCGGCTGTCGAATTAACCATGAGATTGCATGGTGACCTGCAGGTGTACCTGTGCTCAAGGAGCGGCGCATGGGTCGTAAGCCGTGTGGGAGCCCGGGGCTTCCCGGCGGACATGATGTACAGCTCCCGCGTGGATCAGATGCTCAAAAGCCTTTTCCCTTCTCATAGCAGCAGGATAATGGAGAATAAGTTGAATCAGGTTTTTGATCATGAGCTCTATGGACTGAAGCCACGACACAGGTACCAATGTCACGTTTCCTTCTGAAAACTTTTGGAGGTCGTATCCGAGCTGTAGCGGAAGACCCTCCATTTATTTGCTTTATCACACAGAATCCAGTCAGGATAGAAAATCGCTTTCACACAGCGACACCACATCCTGTTTGGATGTGACGTGGGCGACACTTGTTGAACAATGACAAGTGCTCACAACACAACAGGGCGGGAGAATTGAGTGTCGGGTGTTAAACTATGCAGCCCTTTCCCAGAACCGCAGAATTCTCTTGCACACTGCCGTAGTCCCCCGTCTCTGTTATGGCTCTGATACTACCAGTAAAGTCAACAAAAATGTTAAATCAGCTTCATTTCCCCGCCCCTCCAATTGTTGTCACCGCTATTTAAAATTCTGAAAGCTTTTGGAGGTCGTATCCGAGCTGTAGCGGAAGACCCTCCATTTATTTGCTTTATCACACAGAATCCAGTCAGGATAGAAAATCGCTTTCACACAGCGACACCACATCCTGTTTGGATGTGACGTGGGCGACACTTGTTGAACAATGACAAGTGCTCACAACACAACAGGGCGGGAGAATTGAGTGTCGGGTGTTAAACTATGCAGCCTTTTCCCAGAACCGCAGAATTCTCTTGCACACTGCCGTAGTCCCCCGTCTCTGTTATGGCTCTGATACTACCACTAAAGTCAACAAAAATGTTAATTCAGCTTCATTCCCCCGCCCCTCCAATTGTTGTCACTGAAAAAAGAAAAACAACAAACCTTTTTTCATTGAATTTTTTTAATTTATTTTTTTTAATCATAGCTTTCAACTTTTTTAAAAATTGTAACTGCTATTTAAAAATAAACACATGAATAAAAACATAAAGTTTTGGTTTTTTGGGGGACAACCGGATGATTTTCTTCAATATACTGTACTGCTATTTTTTTCAAAAATAATTAGTGTAATCTTACGATAATTCTGTTGGATTTTTGAGATTCTTTTGTGAAAATATTACTCTGTTCCCTTGTTAAACTCTGACTTTAATATTAATGTATTACGATGAGCTTGGAAAAATCAGATTATGATTTTTTTTACCGTTTGTTCTTGTAAAGATTGAGGGAGAAAAAAGAAAAACAACAAACCTTTTTTCATTGAATTTTTTTAATTTATTTTTTTTAATCATAGCTTTCAACTTTTTTAAAAATTGTAATTCCGATGGCATTTAGGGAGTCATTTGAAAAAAAAAGTGGATTAATCCATTCCTCTCTCTAAGAATTTCTGAGAGAAACACCGTGGTGAGTGACGCGCTACCGGCTCGGATAATCTCAGGCCGCATTCGGTTGAAGGAAAACATCAAGGAATTCCGTGGATCCACTTTGGTCTTTGCCGACGGCAGTGCTGTAGACCAGGTATGTTCGTAAAAAACACGTGGTCACTGAAATTATCTAGACGCTAAAAAAGAAAAACAACATCCCTTTTTTTCCACTGATTTTTTTTTTTTAATCATAGCTTTCAACTTTTTAAAAATTGTAATTCCTATGGCATTTATGGAGTCATTTGAAAAAAAAAGTGTATTAATCCATTCCTCTCTCGAAGAATTTCTGAGAAAAACACCGTGGTGAGTGACGCGCTACCGGCTCGGATAATCTCAGGCCGCATTCGGTTGAAGGAAAACATCAAGGAATTCCGTGGATCCACTTTGGTCTTTGCCGACGGCAGTGCTGTCGACCAGGTATGTTCGTAAAAAACACGTGGTCACTGAAATTATCTAGACGCTGTTGTTCCCATGCTGACAAGTTACCTGCTCAGCTCATTTGAAGGCCATTGCTAAATGAACAGCAGCACCTTCTGTGGCTCATGAACATGTGCTGCTGAACATTTACATCGTACATAATACACCAGACTCTCAGTACTCAAACTAGGTCAGAATTTGACTTAAAACCTCAAAGAAAAGGGTCCAAAACACAAAACACTAATCCAGAACTGGCTATCTTAGCATAATCAACAAAAATAGGTGGGGGGAGGCGAAATGGAACAATACAAAACAAAGTGGCTCTCTTAGCGTCATATGTTCTTACAGCTATGAATTTATAACAAGGCAAAAGTTAAAACGCTGATTTTAAGGCCACAAAATGTGAAAAGGTTCAAGAGGTATGAATACTTTTTCAAGACACTATGCATTTATTTCTTTAGGTGGACGTGGTGGTGTTCGCTACAGGATACAAATACAGCTTCCCCTTCCTGCCACCGAACCTGCGGGAGAAGTCAGGTTTCCACCTGTGCCTCTACAAGCATGTGTTCCCACCCAGTCTCTCCAAACCTACGCTGGCAATGGTGGGCTTAATCTTAGGCCAGGGGGGACAACCACCACTGGCAGAGATGCACGCCCGCTGGGCCACCAGAGTTTTCAAAGGTAAACCCCAAAATCTGGTCTGATAAGACTTAATTATCAGAAGTTGGACCGCAATAAGATAAATAACATCATTTTTCACGCTCTTCTGTAGGTTTAGCAAAGTTACCTACCGAGGAGATGATGCTGGATAAAATAGCAACAGAAACAGGAACGATGAACCAAAGGTACAAGAACAACAGCAAAGATCATTGTCCATTGCCACCTTTGTCTTTAAAAAGGGGGTTTGTCCTCTCTTAGGTACACCTGCTACGAGGGTACCCCCATCCAGGTGAACTCCGTGTCCTACCTGGATTCAGTGGCATCTCAGATCGGGGTTAAACCAAACATGGCACTGCTGCTCCTGAAAGATCCCAGATTGGCATTCCAGGTGTTGTTTGGGCCTTTCACATCCTATCAGTACCGACTGAGCGGGCCGGGTCGTTGGGCCGGGGCTCGCCAGGCCATCTTTTCTCAGTGGGACCGGGTGGTTCGGCCATTCAACAAAAAAGTGGACCCGAAAGCCCTTAAGATCAGAATGGTGCCAAGAGCGCCGTCCTCCGTAGTGGGCATGGTGCTTTTCTCGAGCGCAGCCTTGCTGTGTAATTTACAAACATATTAGTTTGTAAACACAGGAACTACATGACCACAACCAAGTGCACTTTAAGGGAGGTAAAATGTTTCGCTCGCAAGCTCGTGAGCTTAACCAGTGATTCCCAAGCCTGTTTTGTCGTTTGCCTCCCAAAACCTCTCGTCATACCATGAATACTTCCTCAGTCATGCAAGCATAGGCTCCAGCACGCCCTCTACCATCGTGAGTATAAGTGGCTGAGATAATATTTCCAAGTACAGTACCTCTTACAAGGTGCTTACACACACCTGTACATTCCCATAAACGGGGAAACACTGATATAAGTAACGTGAGGTATCATGTTGAAATAGTTAGCGAGCTAGCTATCTCACCAACATGAGGCAACATGTTGCTTTGATAGTTAGCAAGCTAGCTATCACTGTTGGTAATGTGAATACATTCTGCTGTCGAAACATGCTGGGCGCTTGGCACTTTTGTTTGGGTTTATGGTTCTCTATTTTATTTTATTTTATTTGCATTTATGCGTGGGTATGCGTGCATGTAAGCCTGTCTGTGGCCTTTTAACAAGAAAATGAAGTGCATGGCTGACTCTATAATATGCCGCTCTCGCACAACTCGAATTGCCCCACAGGGATAAATAAAGTTTTCTGAATCTGAATGACTTGTTCTTGCTGCTTTTGAAGTCGTATGCTAGTTCGTTAGTTTGTTAGTTTTCAACTATTTCAGTAAGTTGATGTCCCTGGAGACACACGCGAAAGAGGAAGGAGCAATTACATTTCGATGCAACTCAAGCTAAAAAGTGCATGTTGAGCAATGTGCCTAGCAACGGGACAGTCCACCTCAGAGTCAAAACGACAGTAAAATGGATGCACTCCTTGCTTGGGGTTGCTTGGGGTCTCTCCCTTCAGTCTCCTCTTGAAGAGGTGAATGTTTGAGGTGTTTAAGGTCCGGTGGTTGACATGGTCAAACTAAGACCTTCTACGCTCATTCCGGAAGCAGCAACGCAAGCCCAAGACATGACATTACTCCCACCATGCTTCACAAATGATCTTGTGTATTTTGGATCATCCTTCTTTCTTTTTCAGAACATTCCAAATTATTGTATTGGTTATGCCCGATGTTTTTGCAATCGCTCATATCGACTATCTTCTCTCGGCTTCAAAATGGTTTGATATTCTCCCACATGCAGCTCTCTCTCTCATCTTCATACTGTATTGGCTTAACAGCAAACTCACAAGGAGAAACCCAAAGCTAAAACAACCAAATTTTCTGTTTTAGCAATCAAGCTAAAAGAGGCATGACTTGAGCAACTCCAAACACCCATCAGTCACATGTTCCAGTACTTTTGCTCACTTCAAACGCGGGTGGCTTCAAACAAAAGATGCCCTCTCCTGATTTGTTGAACACGCCTAAATCTAAATACCACAAATTAAAAGCTGGAATTCAGAAGTGTTGTTTCATATTCATATTTTGATCTGAAACCCAAATGTCCTCAGCATACAAGAAAAAACAAATGAACAGAGCTTGCCGCTCCACTACTTTTGGAGGGGACTCGATACTGTGCCTGAACGTTTTCAGAAAAATCACGTTTTTCTAGCCAGAGAAACTTGTTTTTCCTTCCCTCTTAGGTTCATGTCGTTCATATTGTGTAACAGAAGGGAGCCCCCCGAGGACATTTGTAGTTTGTATGTTCCTTAATGTGCCAGTCCAGCTGCAAACCACACCTCCAAGAAAACACGCAGCCTATCATTGCATGCATTGATGGTGTTACATAACTCTCACCTGACTGATGATAGTCAAAATTGTTCTAGAAGTAAACTGAAGCGGGTGTCAAGCCTCGACTTATGAGCATTCATTGACAGTCAGGTGGAAAAACAAGTTTCACATTGTGACAGACAACTCAAAGTCAAAGACAAACAGCAAACTCCTTTTCTGCTCATTCAAATGCTTATTGTTAGCCTTTCTGCTGTTGGTTTGCTGCTATTTATGTTAGCATATGCAATAAAAAAATAAAATTAAAAAAAAAGAAAATTTGAGAGTTTTTGAATAAGAGCATAACGCAACGGTCTGAACTGCTTTCTCTTGTTTTTGGAATCTACTACAGCCTATCATTGCATGCATTGATGGTGTTACATGAGTCTCACCTGACTGATGATAGTCAAGATTGTTCTAGAAGTACACTGAAGCGAGTGTAAAGCCTCGACTTATTAGCATTCATTGACAGTCAGGTGGAAAAACAAGTTTCACATTGTGACAGACAACTCAAGTCAAAGAGAAACAGCAAACTCCTTTTCTGCTCATTCAAATGCTTATTGTTAGCCTTTCTGCTGTTGGTTTGCTGCTATTTATGTTAGCATATGCAATAAAAAAATAAAATTAAAAAAAAAGAAAATTTGAGAGTTTTTGAATAAGAGCATAACGCAACGGTCTGAACTGCTTTCTCTTGTTTTTGGAATCTACTGCTTGGTTTCCACTCCAAAAATTAAGAAAAGTATGAACTAAGTAGTAGCTAGCTAGCAAATGTGTCTGTTAGCTGGCTGGATTTGAGGGGGAAAAAGCCACTTAATAGCCACAAAATATGCGACTTTTTTCAATCGTGGTTAGCCAGTAGATAGCAAGCTAATTACTTTGTTAGCTTATAGGCAAACAAATAACTTTGGAGTTATAAGTGACTGAGTGTTTGTTTGTTAGCTACAGCAGTTAATTTTTAATATCATAGTTAGCTCGATAGTTGGATTTTTTTTTTTTATCTCCAAATTGTGCTACATTGTCCTTAAAGATACTTTGGATCAAGAAAAAGTCAAAAAAATATCCTACTTTTTCTGTAAAATCAAAAAAATGTAACTATCTTGATTTTTTTCTCCAACTCACAGCATTTATTCAGAAAATAATGTCAAGTTTTCTTTTGTGTGGGGCACAACTGCTCCTTTGTACCAATCATGCTGTTGGTTCACAGGATTACACGTGAAAAGAACATCCAGATGCTTTTCAATCTCGCCGTAATTTCCATTTCCTGGTCTGTGGTTATTGTGTCACACTTTGTAATTGTGTTGCTGTTACAACTGAAAACTGCAAAGGTTTTTGCTCAACTTATACTTTGCTTCATTGTTGTCTTTCTGAATGAAGCGTTCATCAGACTGCCAACTCCAGGTGGCAACAGAAATGAGGGCGTGGTCTGTAAGAATGATAATTTTGTCAAGGAACACACACGCACAGACTCATACGTTTGATTGTCCGAAGAAGCCTGACAATTCACTTCAGCTGTTCTTGTGAACGGGAATGAATTCACGGGAGTTCATTTTGTGATTTTTTTTGAAGACTACGTATCTTTTCCAAGGTACTGTTCTTGCTGTGTGTTGTTTGCTTTGGTGCAATTTTCTTGTTTGAGTTGCGTCAGCCACACTCACTCTCATGCTTTCTCTTTTGCGCAAATCATTTCCACATGGAAAGACATTGTTAAACATCTGTGTAGACCATGAGGAATGTTTAGGTTTTGTTTTATGGCAAATGGCCGTGCAATTTTCTTGTTTGAGGTGTGTCAGCAACACTCACTGTCATGCTTTCTCTTTTGCGCAAATCATTTCCACATGGAAAGACATTGTTAAACATCTGTGTAGACCATGAGGAATGTTTAGGTTTTGTTTTATGGCAAATGGCCCAAAGGAATAATAAAGGAATGGACAAATATGGTGACGACATCAGAAAGTGGGAAAAACTGTCATGGAACTCGGTAGGGCTTCCGTAGAAAACACACACTGTCTTGAACCCCAACATGTCATCTTTTGTCTCCAGCATGGTTCAGAAGGTAGCCGTGATTGGCGCCGGGATGTCAGGCCTGACCAGCATCAAATCCTGTTTGGAAGAAGGTCTTGAGCCCACCTGCTTTGAGAGCGGTCCTGACATCGGCGGTCTATGGAGATTTAAGGTTTGCTTTCGAAACAAAAAACACTTTCGGCTGAGATTTAGCCAACAACTTGCTGTTGACACATGACAGGAGGAACCGGAGCCTGGACGGGCCAATATTGTGTGTGTGTGTGTGTGTGTGTGTGTGTGTGTGCCATATGGATGATTTTGAGAGATTGTGGAGAGAGGAATGGTCGAAAAAAAAAAAATTAAATTGAAACGTAAGAACACTCCATAACCTGGCGTGCCAATAATTATGCGGAGCACTGTTTGCACAAATTTCAGAGAATTTATTCCATTTAGGAATAAAGCCGTAACAGAACATTAGTTTTTAAGTTTAACCCGAACTCATCCAAGTTTGCCTTTATATTTGCTTATGGTTGTCTCAAGACGGCTGTGGTCAGCATTAGGCAGACTGCAGACTATGCTGACACCGGTCAGTGGGTCGTAGAGACCGAGGGGCGCGACGGGCGGCAGGAGAGTGAGATTTTCGACGCCGTGATGGTCTGCGCGGGACTCTTCAACACCCCCAACCTGCCACTCAAAGACTTTCCAGGTACCCACCCCGTCATTGATTGCAAGGGTGAACCTCGCTATTTGTGGAGTTTAGGGAGCTTGGCACTAACGTTTTGCGGTTGAATTTTCAGGAGGTGGTTACCCCACTAAAAACTTTAATAATCACTTCGCAGGAGTCTGAACTTCTTTGCAAATTCACCTACTCTGAGAATTTCCTTGGAAGCTGTCCTTCGTCTTTCACTGAAAAGCACCTTGCCTCTCTGCTGCCACCTTGTGGCCATTTTGGTGCTTAGAAACTATGATGACATGAGCTGAAGATCTTTCTGTTGTAAAAAGTAGTGCTCACTGTAATTGAATTGAATTGAATTGAATACAACTTTATTGTCAAATGTGCTGTACGTATGTGTAACATACAGCACAGATGAAATTTCTTCCCTCTCAACATAAAACAAGTCATCTTTTAGAGACTCTCGAAAAAGAGGAAATTTTGCTGAGTTGCGTTCAAATTCAGATTGCGCTCGTCCATAATCTTGCTAGCCACTTGGATTGACGTTAACAACCATTATTTTAGGTAGAACGCATTGGTTACCCCGGAACAGACTTGAAGGTGATCCTGTATTCTGATTGGCTACTCTGCTTTTCGAGATTTAGCAATTTCTTGTCAAACGTTTGTGCACAGTTTGACAGAGATCACAGGTTCTTTTTCTTTCTTTTTTTTTTTTTTTTTTTTTCAATGTCCACGGTCCAGGTATAGAGAGCTTCACTGGCAAGTACTTTCACAGCCGGGAATACCAAAACGCTGAAGATATGCGCGGGAAAAGAGTGGTTGTCATCGGGATTGGAAGTTCCGGAGGTGACATCGCGGTGGAGATCAGTCAGGTTGCTAAACAGGTGTGTACTTAAACAGTGAGGCTTCCATCTCGAATGATAAATACCCGACCGCGCCTTTTAAAAAAAAAAAATTATCTAAAACCTGATCGGTGAAAGAATTAACTGAGGCTGAATAATTAATTAAACTCATATTGACATTGTGTGTGGATTTTTTTTTTTTTTTTATAATAATTGAAATTTTGCAGGGATGTTAAAACTTTTTTTCTGTGGAGTGTTAAATTTACAAGACACATATTTTCACTCTACAGTGACTTTCCGTTTCACAGAACCCTCAAAATGATGATTAAACTTTGATTCTCCACCTACATAGATCGGAAAGACAAATTCTCTCGTACGCGGTAAAAAAAAATACTTTGAGCAACATTTCATTCTGAATATTTTCTTCTAAGTGTCAATTTTACTCTGTTTAGACTGGAACCACATAAAGTTAAACAAATAAATCAACCTCTGTTTCCTTTTTGTCGGTCGGTCATTCGGCTTTATTTATTTTAGATTTTTTATATGTATATTTTATTTATATACTGTAGAGTTATAGTGTTTTTTCAGTGTTTAGCAAGTTCACAACTCAGATTGATATCTTTCTTGTTGATTTGTGGAGCATTTGACTTCATTTTAGTGTTAGCCTAAAGGATTTTTGTTGTATGTAATAAAGATTAATTTAATTGCTTGTGTTTGTTTGGGAAGAGGACTTTGAAAAAATTACTGCACTGAATCACAATATTGAGGGCAAAAAAACCCCCAAAAACCTTCAGCCGTAGAATTAACCATGAGATTGCATGGTGACCTGCAGGTGTACCTGTGCTCAAGGAGCGGGGCATGGGTCGTAAGCCGCGTGGGACCCCGGGGCCTCCCAGTGGACATGATGTACAGCTCCCGCATGGATCAGATGCTCAAAAGCCTTTTCCCTTCTCAGAGCAGCAGGACAATTGAGAAGATGTTGAATAACGTTTTTGATCATGAGCTCTATGGACTGAAGCCACAACACAGGTACCAATGTCAAGTTTCCTTCTGAAAGCTTTTGGAGGTCGTATCCGAGCTGTAATGGAAGACCCTGCATTTACTTGCTTTATCACACAGAATCCAGTCAGGATAGAAAATCGCTTTCACACAGCGACACCACATCCTGTTTGGATGTGACGTGGGCGACACTTGTTGAACAATGACAAGTGCTCACAACACAACAGGGCGGGATAAGTCAGTGTCGGGTGTTAAACTACACAGCCCTTTGCCAGAACTGCAGAATTCTCTTGGACACTGCCGTAGTCCCGTCTCTGTTATGGCTCTGATACTACCACTAAAGTCATTAAAAATTTTCAGTCAACCTCGCCCACGTCCCCATTTGTTGTCATCGCTATTTAAAAATAAATAAATGAATAAATAAAGAAATAAATTGGGGGGGGGTTGGGGACAGCCAGATTATTTTCTTCAACATACTGCTATTTTTGTCAAAAATAATTTGTGTAATCTTACGATAATTCTGTTGGATTTTTGATATTCTTTTGTTCAAATATTACTCTGTTCCCTTGTTAAACTCTGACGTTACTATTAATATATTACAACGAGTTTGGAAAATTAAGACGTTCTTGTAAGATTATGACTTTTTTTTTTTTTTACCCTTTGTTCTTGTAAAGATTGAGAAAAAAATGATCACAACAAACCTTTTTTTCACTGAAAAATGTTTTGTTTTTGTTATTTTTCTTAATCATAGCTTACAACTTTTTTAAAAATTGTAATTCCGATGGCATTTAGGGAGTCATTGAAAAAAAAAATGTGTATTAACCAACCCATCCTCTCTCTCAGTATTTCTGAGAAAAACACCGTGGTGAGTGACGCCCTACCGGCTCGGATAATCTCAGGCCGCATTCAGTTAAAGAAAAACATCAAGGAGTTCCGTGGATCCACTTTGGTCTTTGACGACGGCAGTGCTGTCGACCAGGTATGTTCGGAAAAAACACGTGGTCACTGAAATGATCTCAGATCATAGACGCTGTTGTTCCCATGCTGACAAGTTACCCACTCAGCTCATTTGAAGGCCATTGCTAAATGAACAGCAGTACCTTCTGTGGCTCATAAACATGTGCTGCTGAACATTTACATCGTACATAATACACCAGACTCTCAATACTCAAACTAGGTCAGAATTTGACTTAAAACCTCAAAGAAAAGGGTCCAAAACACAAAACACCAATCCAGAACTGGCTAGCTTAGCATCATCAACAAAAACAGGTGGGGGGAGGCGAGATGGAACAAGACAAAACAAAGTGGCTATCTTCGCGTCATATGTTCTCAACAGCTATGAATTTGTTACAAGGCAAAACTTAAAACGCTGATTTTAAGGCCACAAAATGTGAAAAGGTTCAAGAGGTATGAATACTTCTTCAAGACACTATGCATTTATTTCTTTAGGTGGACGTGGTGGTGTTCGCTACAGGATACAAATACAGCTTCCCCTTCCTGCCACCGAACCTGCAGGAGATGTCGGGTTACCACCTGTGCCTCTACAAACATGTGTTCCCACCCAGGCTCTCTAAACCTACGCTGGCAATGGTGGGATTAATTTTCGGCCAGGGGTCACAATCACCGCTGGCAGAGATGCAGGCCCGCTGGGCCACCAGAGTTTTCAAAGGTAAAACCCCAAAATCTGGTCTGGTAAGACTTAATTATCAGAAGTTGGACCCCAATAAGATAAATAACATCGTTTTTCACGCTCTTCTGAAGGTTTAGCAAGGTTACCGACCAAGGAGATGATGCTGGATAAAATAGCAACATTAACAGGAACGATGCACCAAAGGTACAAGAAGAACAGCAAAGATCATTGTCCATTGCCACCTTTGTCTTTAAAAAGGGGGTTTGTCCTCTCTTAGGTACACCTGCTACGAGGGTACCCCCATCCAGGTGAACTCCGTGTCCTACCTGGATTCAGTGGCATCTCAGATCGGGGTTAAACCAAACATGGCACTGCTGCTCCTGAAAGATCCCAGATTGGCATTCCAGGTGTTGTTTGGGCCTTTCACATCCTATCCCCTTTGTCTTTAAAAAGGGGGGTTGTCCTCCCTTAGGTACGCCTGCTATGAGGGTACCCCCATCCAGGTGAAGTACATGTCCTACCTGGATTCAGTGGCATCTCAGATCGGGGTTAAACCAAATATGGCACTGCTGCTCCTGAAAGATCCCAGATTGGCATTCCAGGTGTTGTTTGGGCCTTTCACATCCTATCAGTACCGACTGAGCGGGCCGGGTCGTTGGGCCGGGGCTCGCCAGGCCATCTTTTCTCAGTGGGACCGGGTGGTTCGGCCATTCAACAAAAAAGTGGACCCGAAAGCCCTTAAGATCAGAATGGTCCCAAAAGCGCCGTCCTCCGTCGTGGGCATGGTGCTTTTTTCGAGCGCAGCCCTGTTGTGCGGATCCTTCTACAATACTTAACGGACTCTGTCTTCCAAGACTTGAAATATTTTAAGCGAGTGTACTGCTAAATATTTACCGGTACATTCATGCAATTTACAAACACATTAGTTTATAAACACCGTCACTACATGACCACAACCAAGTGCACTTTGTGGGAGGTAAAATGTTTCGCTCGCAAGCTAGTGAGCTTAACCAGTGATTCCCAAGCCTGTTTTGTCGTTTGCCTCCCAAAACCTCTCGTCATACCATGAATACTTCCTCAGTCATGCTAGCATAGGCTCCAGCATGCCCTCTACCCTCGTGAGCATAAGTGGCTGAGATAATGTTTCCAAGTACAGTACCTCTTACAAGGTGCTTACACACACCTGTACATTCCCATAAACGGGGAAACACTGATATAAGTAACATGAGGTAACATGTTGAAATAGCGAGCTAGCTATCTCACCAACGTGAGGCAACATGTTGCTTTGATAGTTAGCAAGCTAGCTATCACTGTTGGTAACGTGAATACATTCTGCTGAAGAAACATGCTGGGCGGTTGGCCCTTTAGTTTGGGTTTATGGTGCTATATTTTATTTTATTTTATTTGCATTTGTGCCTCCCCGCCTCTCATTATCATATTGTCTCTGTATAATCTCATGAATGTGTTTCTTTGACGCTTCCTGACTGAAACCTGGAACCCTCAGGAGCCCGAATTGCTTCGTAAACTGCAGAAAAATAAATTAAACCCTTCGAAGGAACTGTTCGTTGACTCCAGCCTTTATTTGAAGAACCGACATTCTCCTCGTCCGAAATTCAACGAACACGCGGGGAAGAGGAGGCCGCTCTTCCCCCAACAGGAGCAATTACATTCCGATGCAAGTCAAGCTAAAAAGTGCATGTTGAGCAATGTGGCTACCAACGGGACAGTCCACCACAGAGTCAAAACAGCAGTAAAATGGATTCACTCCTTGAAGTGAACGTATATTATCCACATGTATGAAAGTTTCACATTCACAGCATTTATCTATCCCTTGTGGTTATTGATCAACTTAAGATCAATGCTGAGACGACACTAAAGGAGCAGGATGCTTGCTGTGGTTTTCATGGAAGATGGAACAAAACACTTGCATGTTTGGTCTTATTTAAATACTTTTCATTGAAAAAATAATATATTGGCAGTCTTTTATTTTTTTTACTGATGGACTTTTTATAAAAGAAACTATTTAAAAAGTCTTTTTTGACCAGACATATTTAACTGTACGGCAAAACTGTACTGTATGACAAAAGTAACATTTATAATGTCATAAACCATGACCACTCCCCCCATGAAAAAAGCAGAGAAACAGAAAAACAAAGTCAGTTAATTAGTTGCTGCCCTTCAGTCGAAGGTCCATCAGTTGGCAACATGGCTCTGACGGTAGCCGTGATTGGCGCGGGGCCCTCGGGTCTGACCAGCGTCAAGTCCTGCTTGGATGAAGGTCTGAAGCCCACCTGTTTCGAGAGCGGCCCTGACATCGGTGGTCTGTGGAGATTCAAGGTGAGGGTCAGCTAACAAACTCATATTTTTGCCTTACCACACGCCCTGTTTAAAAAAAAAAAAAGAATCTGAATGAAGTTGAATGTTAAAATACAACCATCTATCTTTTCTTCTACAAAATATAGAACACACATTTTAGGTCATGAATGTCATTCATTCTCAGTTGTTTGTCATTGGCTCATCGGATTTGGGGTTATGGTCTGTTCTATAAAACTCGGAAATGGGAAAATTCTGACGTTCGACCAAAAAAATGTTAAGTACTCTGCCTTGGGACTATGGCTGAGGACTAGCATTTACGCTAAGTCTGGCCCATTTACACTGTTGTGTTGATTAATGTGCGCTGTCCTAATGAAATAAATAAATAATAGTAACTGCTGTCCCTGAAAGAGTTAAATATTAAGTAAAACGAGAAATGACATAATATCCAACTTGCGCTGGCTTTTCGCAGTACTACGTTTTGATCCATGTTTGTTGGCTGGCCAGTTACTTTACAACCTTTAGCTTAGTCGGGTCACAGCACATTTGAATCACATGAGTAACATATCTAGTTACTTAATGTTCATTAGGTTATCTGTTGTTGCAAAATGAGAAATGATTTGATTAAAAAAGCATGTAATGTGATTTTACTGAGATTGTATCAAATCTGTCCAATTTTTGTTTATATTCCCCAACCATCAACTTTATTTGACTAGTTTTGTTCATATCAATCAACTATGCACAGCAATGGCCACTTTTCCTAATCCTGTAATCTGGGATTCTTTCAGGAGGAACCAGAGCCGGGTCGAGCTAACATTTATCAGTCGGTGATCATCAACACCTCCAAAGAGATGATGACCTTCAGCGACTTGCCGCCGCCGGCCCACCTCCCCAACAACATGCACCACTCCGAGGTGCTGCTCTACCTGCGCCTCTACGCCCAGTCCTTCAACTTGCTGAAGCACATCCGCTTCAAGGTGGGGGCGTCACAAACTCGCCAGGCGAAATCAGAAATAAAAAAAGATTGGGTCAATTTTGAAGTTGTATGTGTGAATCAAGGTACCACTATAAATTTATATTTTTTAATTTTAAAAATTATTGGGGAATAATAATAATTTTTTCATGAACTTTGGATGGCAAGTTGATTTTTTTTTATTTTTTTTTAAACACCATATTTGTGGACCCTGTCTCCATTGTGTGCCTTCAGACTGCTGTGGTGGATGTGAGGCGGACTCCAGACTTTGCAGCCACCGGTCGTTTTCCATAGCTGGGAATACCGCAGCCCTGAGGGTCTGCAAGGGAAACGGGTGATAGTGGTCGGCATGGGGAACTCGGGAAGCGACATCGCCGTGGATATCAGTCCAGTTGCCGAGAAGGTAACAACCGTGCGCGGATGTCGGTGAAGAAGCTATCTTTCATCTCGCTTCTGTTTGTGCCGAGCGTGCAGGTGTACCTCAGCACCAGGAGCGGAGCGTGGGTGGTGGGCCGCGTGGGTCCCGGCGGCCTCCCAAGGGACCTCATTGGGAACTCCCGGATTGACGGGCTGAAGAGGAAGCTGTTTCTTTCGAGGGTCAACCAGATGACAGAGAAGAAGCTCAATCGGTATTTTGATCACCGACTGTATGGCATCAAACCAAAACACAGGTAAGGCGATTGAATGTTTAAATTTCCACAAAAAAAGTGAACCGTGATATGGTGAGAGACGAAAATTTTGTATAATTGCAAAGATTATAAGAGTAACTGGCTGCTAAATTGAATGTTTAAATTTCCACAAAAAAAGTAAACCGTGATATGGTGAGAGATGAAAATTTTTTTATAATTGCAAAGATTATAAGAGTAACTGGCTGCTATACTGTGCCGTGGTGCTGTCAGCTTTTACGCTCAGATTCCTGTTGTGAATGACGACCTGCCGTCTCGCATCATCTCAGGACGTGTCGAGGTCAAACCTAATCTCAAATGCTTCAGTGGTTCGGATGCCATCTTTGATGATGGTACCATAGTTCATAAGGTGAGCGTCTAGCCACTACGTAGTGCCCTGAAGTGATTCCTAACCATTCTTATGTCATTACAAATACGTTTGGTTATATAAACATGCCCGCGTGGCATATTGTGACAGGTGGAGTAATTAAAAAATCTTCCACTAGAGGGCAGAATGTAAAATAAACTTCTGTATCAACTGATTGCCACTCACACAACAGAATAACTTTCTGCGAGTTTACAAGCTTTGCGTTCAATTGAACGGGCCCAGACCTCAAACTGGAAAAGTTAATTTTTGGGTATATTAAGACAAGATCACCATGGCTACCATATTAATACTCTGTCATATTTTTGTTTGGTGATGTGCCAGTGGATTGGAACCTCTCGTTTGTGTGGCAGGTGGACGTGGTGGTGTTCGCCACAGGCTACAACTACAGCTTCCCTTTCCTGCCCCCCGACCTGCAGGGCAAGTGCGGTCCGGGCCCCCTACACCGCCTCTACCGCCACGTGTTCGCGCTCGGCCTGACCTCGCCCACGCTAGCTGTGGTCGGCTTGATCGACGGCCTCGGCGCCGTCAACCTTCTGGCAGAGTTGCAGGCTCGCTGGGCCACGCGTGTTTTTAAAGGTAAACCAGAGATGAAAGGAACTCAGCTGCCTATTTCAGAACAGAGTCTGTTCATTTTAAATGTCCTTGACCCTGCTGTGGTGTGCTGAGAACAAAGGAAACCTCCATAAGGCATTCCATGAGACAAAGAAAGTCTGATAGCCACTTGCCTAAATATACTCTAGCCGCACTGTGAAACATTCAGATTTTGTACTGGCTATCCATCCATCCACTGTTTTCTCCTTATGTGTCCTGATGCAGGTTTGATAAGTCTCCCCACACAGGAAGCCATGATGGAGGACATCAAGAGAGAAAGGGCAAAAAGGTGCAAACGGTATGGCACCTTTGGTTATATTTGTGTCCATTTTTATAAATGTTTTACTATTTACAGTAAATTAACCAATTCTTTAAAAATGTTAAATGTTAAATTTTAAATTTTAGTAGTATTTTTAATTAATATTTTATAATAAATGGTTTAGTTTACTGTTTGTTTACTGCAATTGATAAACAAATGCAGTAAAAAAATAGAATGTTGCATTTTTTTGTATTTTTGTGTTATGCATGATACATTAATTCACAAATTACTTAATAAATGTTAAATGTATAAATAAAATATTTGTTGACTATTCTTTATTTCCAAAAAATTAACCAAATATTTTCAATCAGATTCATTAAAAGGTGAAAATGGTTTTAAAATTTTGTTGCAATACCTACCGGTAATTGTTTATTTTACTATTTTCATTTGCAATAAATCAAAATTGAAAATTCATATTTAAAATTGTTACATGACTAATTTTGTATTTTTACATTAAACAACAATTTAATCATATGTAATAAAACTGTTAAAGGTTTGTTTTTTGTTTTTTTACAAATGCTTTTTATGTTATTATTTACAATCAGTCAAACAATTGTTTAATTAAGATATTTTTAGAAGCCAATTGTCAGAAGTAACATCTACATGAAGTACAAACATTCCAGGACTCTTGTTTAAATTTTCTTTGTGATTTTAGTTTTACCGATGGCAAGAAAAACCCACTGTTGGTGGACGTCCTGCCGTACATGGATTCCTTGGCCGTGGAGGCCGGGGTTCGACCCAACATCTTGTGGCTCTTTCTCAGCGACCCCCAAGCTGGCTTGGCATGTGTTGCTGGGTCCGTGCACCCCGTATCAGTACCGCCTGATCGGACCGGGAAAGTGGGACGGAGCCCGCCGGGCTATTCTCACCCAATGGGAGCGTGTGCACCAACCATTCCGAAGCCGGCAAGCAGAATCGGGACTACCGACAGCAATGATATCTTATGGCCTCATTGGGCTTTTGACAGGCGCCACCATACTGACTTTTTGTTTCTACAAGAATCTTCATCTTAATATGTCCTGTTTTTTCTCTTAGAACAGTTTCAGATGTTTTGATGGCCAAGCAGCCCAATTGTAGCTTTTTTAATATCTTTATTATACATAACATCTTGTAGTACAAAACTCTTTCTTGTCGAAGTTGCACATTTAATTTTAGCCACAAAACACTGACAGAACACACAAATATATGTATTATATGAAATGACAAATATACAGTGGATGTAAAAAGTCTACACACCCCTATGCGAATGGCAGGTTTTTATGAAATAAAAGCTGAGACCAAGACAAGATGAATCATTTCAAATACTTTTTCTGCCATGAATGTGTTCTATAACTTACACTACTCAATTTAGTTGTTTTTTTTTAATAAAGAGGGAAATCATTAATAATTGAAACTATGCATTTGCACAAATGTGCACACCCTCTCACAAGTGGGGATGTGGCTGTGTTCATCACATTCAAACTCATGGAAGTCAGCACACCTTTCCCAAAAAGTGCCTTTGTTTAGCCCCAAATTTCAGGTGTTCTAGTAGTCTTTTCCTGACATTTAGGGAGTCACATGACAGCACAAGATCTGCAGAGGTTTTCCATTATGAGGGGGAAAAATAATTTTTAAAATGAAATTATTTTAATATGGCAAGTATTCTTTTAAACAACACAGTTTGATAATGGGGAGAAAAATATATTTCACAGGAATGAATCCATAATATGCAAAAACAATTTTTAAAAAGTCACAGTATGATCAAAATAAATCTTACAAGAATAAATTCTTGATATGAGAGGAAAATATATTCCATAATATTACAAGATAAATAAGAATGAAGATGTACATTTCTGTGGGAAAATAATTTTACAATAATAATGACAATGGGAAAAAAGCATATCTCAGTTTCACAAGAATGAAGTCTGACTATAAATATTTTAATTTCAAAAATCATATTACCGATACAAGAACTTCATTATTATAAGAATAACGTTGTACAGTAATGAGGAAACAAATCTGGTCTTCAAAAACTATTTGTGTACAGGATATATTTCGTACATATTGAATTAAAATAATAGTGTTTCTTTTATTTTCTTATTTTCAACAGCGATATAACGTAATTTTTGTCATCGTCATTACTAGTTTGTTTGATTGCAATCTGTTGAAAGAATGAAAGAAAGAAAGAAAGAAAAAGGGGGAAAAAAGCAGCTATTTTGTTGCAGGAACCTTTTGTGTACTTTATGTAAGTGTACCTAATGTAATGTCCGGCGAGCGAGACCCTTTGTTTGTTTTTCCAGCACATCACGCTGCTGTGAAGAGTTCAGGGGTCAAAGTCGGGCGCCGGAGACTCTGCCACTCCTCCCACTTCCAAGCACCGCTGCGAGGGGACGACAACACAAAAACAGAAGTCAAGTCACTCCCTTCGTCTTGTCTTGAGTGCAAAGCGGGTAAGAGAGCGTCGACTGTTTTTACTGCTGCGTCATCTTCCTGTGCAGTTTTTAAAGCCACAAAAGAAGCAAAGTTGACTCGAGTTTGCTGAGTTCAATTGGGGTCTCGACCGTTGGAGATTCCATCTGCAACATTGGCGAGATTTATGTAGTTTGAAGCGTGTTGTTCATTAAGCCTGACTCTAGTTCAGACTGAGTGCTGCGTGCGACTGTAACTGATGAACTGATTAACAAACGTTTGGCTTGCGTGTTGTACGTGCATGTGTTTTGCACGGAGCAGATTCACTCTCAGACTGAGTGCTGCGTGCGACTGTACTGATAAACAGACGTTTGGCTTGCGTGGTGTACGTGCATGTGTTTTGCACGGAGCAGATTCACTTTGAACGCCTCTTTGTCAGAGAGCTAGTCTTGAAAGAGCACGTCGTTTTAAAGAGCGTATTTGTTGCTGGGCAGCTTTCACACTGTACACAAGTAGAAGCAAAGATACGTTTATGTGAAAAAAAAAAGTCGTTTTTTTTCATTATTATAATTCCCAATGATATTTTTTGCACCATGTCAATGTTACAACAGCATAATTCATTATTATAATTCCCAATGATATTTTTTGCACCATGTCAAATGTTACAACAGCATAAGAAATGCTTTTGCAAACAAACCACTTTCAGTCATACCTCAAATTAAAGGTTGTGATTATGCATTTCGAGAATGTTAATTATGCATTTCGAGAATGTTAATTAGTATGATGTAATTACCAAAAAAAAAACCACCTCTGTCAAATTTGACCTGTAAAATTGTTTTCAATCAATTTACATCGAACCACATTCCCAGTGCTGTTAATTATTCTGTCAATGTCTACTTCTAATTGTTACCAATCTATTTACATCGAACCACATTTCCAGTGCTGTTAATTATTCTGTCAATGTCTACTTCTATGATGACTTTTTTTTACACATTTGCTGCAATTATACAGCTTCAGGATGCCTCGTCGTGTGGCTGTGATTGGAGGTGGGAGCTCGGGCCTGGCCTGCATCCAGTGCTGCCTGCAAGGTGGGTTGATTGCAGTGGTGGGAAGTAATCAAGTACAAATACAGGTAGATTGAAATTAAGTCAGTTGAGATCTTAGAGACTGATAAGGTGTAAAAATAACAAGGACACCTGCGACGTGGAGGCCAGATGCTCTGGCACACGGAGGAATGTGAACCATGGTTTTTAAAAAATGGCCACGTTTAGAAAATGATTGCCAGATGCTCTGGCTCTGGCACACGGAGGAATGTGAACCATAGAATGGTTTTTAAAAAATGGCCACGTTTAGAAAATGATGCTTCAAATTTGTGAAAAATCAAGTCGTTGTCTCCGCTCTCAAAGATTGCGCGCGTGAATGCGTGAAACCACGCCTTGTTCACCTGTCAATCAAATACCACACTATGACTTCAAAATAGATGCTAATTTGTCTGGCATTCATTTTATAGCCACACAGCCATCTCATCTTTGAGTTACGAAAATATATCTGCTGAAAGCCTTTGGTGGCTGAAAGAGAAATGATAAATGCTGCAGTTAGTAAGAATGAATTGGAAATGACATTAGTCTGTTCCAGCAACCCTGTGGTCAGGTAGTATTGTGAAAGAGAATATCTGAATTACTAAAATGCTAAGAGTTGCGAAGGTAGCATTTAGCAAGGTGGTAATCTAAATGGGGAAAGCGTTGAGGCATCGAGATAAGGATTTTTATATTGTGCACTGTGGTGAGGTACTTCAAGAATCGCTCAAATGCTAACATGCTAACAGTTGTTTTGCTAGGCGATAGCAAGATAGCAACCTGAGTAGAGAAACCGCTGAGGCAGCGGGATTTTACAGTGTGCTCTTTGGTCTGTTACTTTGTTGTTATCGTGGCTAGTTTAGGATTTTCAATCAGTTCACACAGTGCTAGCAAAGTTGTGACACACTCACCAGGGGTAAAAGTAATGCAAAAAAGTGTTGTTGGTTTTTTTTTCTTTTTAATAAATAAATAAATAAAGCAGTCTAATCAGTATTTACTTTTTACCGGTCTTTTTTTTTTTTTAAACACAAGTACAAAGTGTAAGAACTTTGGCCACTTCGGGTTCTGCTCACGATGTCCATTTTTTAATATGCGGTCATTGCAGGAGAACCCCGAGCCGGACCGGGCCAGCATCTACCACTCTGTCATCATCAACACCTCCAAGGAGATGATGTGTTTTAGTGACTTCCCCATCCCGGCCCACTTCCCCAACTACATGCACAACACCCTCATCATGGACTACTTCCGCATGTACGCCGACCACTTCAAGCTCCGCAAGCACATACGCTTCAATGTAAGCAGAAATTCATTGTAATGACATCACAGGGACCTCCGCCAAGGCCAAACAACTTGCCTTTCTTGAAGTGAAAAATCAAAACTGTGCCGAGTGGTCTTGTTGTGGAATTTTTCACCTTTTTTCCATGTCGCTCAGAATGAAATGCGGGGTACACTTATATTTCCGATACTATATATTTATTAAACTCCCATTGTTACTTCAGTGTTAGTCCATTTCTCCTTTGCAATAACACAAAAGGGTCATAAGAACTATAGCATGACGAAACTATATATGGCTACGATACATAAGTCTTTTTCAATTTGTTTTACTTGTTTTTTTTTTTTTTATATTATTCCCTCAGACCAAAGTCTTGCGGGTGAATCAGAGGGCTGACTTTTCTCGTTCCGGCCAATGGGACGTGGAGACGGAGAACCAAGAAGGCAAAAAGAATAAACACATCTTTGACGCCGTGCTGGTCTGCATCGGACACCACTGCCACCCCAACCTGCCTCTCCAGGACTTCCCAGGTACAATGTTTAAAGCAGGGTGGTGCATATGGAAAACATTCGCAGCGCTTCATTCATTTGCAAGATGATGTCAAGTTTATTTAATTTTATCGCTCCTGATCAAAAAAGTGTCTCAAAGCCTTTGTGAGAAATAAAATATCTCAATGGTCAAACAGTAAAGATTTTGCAAAAAACTTTTGTAGAAGTGCAATAATTTCGTCATTTCAAATAAAAAGGAAAAACGTGCCTCCCAATTTACAAAAGTTTAATGGGAAAGCACATTTTTGTGGACACAATATGGCTTGGAACTAAGCCAAAGCATTGGGAAATTCAAGTTAAACTGTCCAGTTAAAGCAGGGGTCTCAAACTCAGTTCCTGGAGGGCCGCTGTCCTGCATGTTTTCCAAGTCTCCCTGTTGCAACACAGCTGATTCAAATGATCAGATCATCATCAAGCTCTGCGGAAGCCTGACATTGAACCTGTTCATTTGAATCAGGTGTGTTGCAACAGGGAGACTTGGATAATTTGATTTTTTTTTTAATTCATTTGCATACACACACAAAAAAAAAATCCAGACATGTCGTTATAATGTGGGATCCTATGTAGAATTTTGAGGGAATTTTTTAAAATACATTTTGGAATTGAGCTATCATATCAAAATGTGAAAAAAGTAAAGTATGTATCGAGAAAGCACCATATTAACAGCACTTCACTTTATTCCACATCTTTCATTTTTATTTTGGGAACAAATTTGTATATGAAAATATGTAATCCCTGGGCATACTTTTTGGACGCACAATGCAGTTGTCATGCTGATGCCTCTTTAGAAATCAACCTTTGTGTCCTTATATAGCCTGTAATCACGCACTCACCGAGTATTACTTTTATCGTTAACCTTCACCTCAGTTCAACTTTCAGCATGTGCATATTGAGGGATCAAAGTGTTATTTTTTCCATATTAATGATTCACAATGGATGCCGTTTTGTTTGTGTCAGGCCTGGACACGTTCCAGGGAAAATACTTCCACAGTCGTGACTACAAGACACCCGAGGAGTGGCGGAACAAGAAGGTGGTGGTGGTCGGCATCGGGAACTCCGGAGGTGACATCGCCGTGGAGCTCAGCAGGTTCACCAAGGAGGTAGATAGGCACATGTGTGCTGTGCTTTGGATCATGGGCTAATACTGGAAATAGCAATATAATGTGGTGTGCTTTTAAACATGAGCCATTTCCATAAATATACAATTGATGTGGTATACTTTGGATCATGAGCTCTTACCTTTTATACACATAGGCACAAGATGTGCTATGTTTAGGAATGTGAGATGATTGATAGCGAGACATGTGATGTGGTATGCTTTGGATCACAGCCTTTGACAAATACACATAAGATGTGGTATGCTTTGGATCCTGAACTGTTCCCTTGCAAATGTCAAGAAAATTATTAATCTTTCCTCGATCAAAAGCATTTTTTTTTGGTTTGTTTTCAATGACTACTACTCTTCCCTTTCAGCTTTATCTGAGCACCCGAAGAGGGGCTTGGGTTCTGAATAGAGTCGGGGACAACGGTGTGCCCCTGGACTTGGGCATCAACAGGGTGACTGGGCTGCTCAGGGACCTGCTTCCTTTCGGAGTGGTCTGCAACCTGGGAGAGAGTCAACTCAACCGGCGATTTAATCACACCCTGTATAGCTTGAAGCCCAACCACAGGTAGTCAAAGCATAACCAGGAATGAAGTTAAAAGAATTACCTTTACATTTTCTGCTGCTTTGAAGGCCGCTTATCGGAAGCTAGCTATGTTAGCTAATGCTAATCTGCGCATCCAGCAAAAGTCATTGCAGCTCTGCTGACATTTTGGCACTGAGAGGGTGTTTTTGCTTGATGGTATAGTCCAGTGCACCGTTGCTTAAAGGTGGCTCTGCATCTTAGGCCAGTGGTCCCGAACCACCAGTCCACGGCCTCATAACAGTGCGATATATTTAAAAAAGAAAACTAATAATATTTTACATTTTTGTAGTGGAGCGTATATACATTATCTAAAACCTCTGGCAGTGTGCCGTTGCTTAAAGGTGGCACTGCATCTTAGACCGGTGGTCCCGGGCCAGTTCGTACTGGGCCGCACAGATATATTTTTTTAAATAATATTTTTTATTTTTGTAGTAGAGCGTATATACATTATCTAAAACCTCTGGCAGTGTTTGCCGCGTTGCTGTCAATGTAGTCATGGGATTGGTTCTCAACATGTCAGGTTGTTCAGCCAACATCCCACGGTGAACGATGAGCTTCCCAACCGCATCCTGTCGGGGACAGTGCAGGTGAAGCCCAACATTCGCCGATTTGAAGGCTCCATGGTGGAATTTGACGACGGCAGCGTGGTGGAAGATGTGGACCTGGTGGTAGGTCATTGAAAAGAATCTCTTCATGTCATCATTTGGGCACAAATGCACTTTGTTTTGTTTTGGTTTTGAGGTTTTTGCCACAGGCTACAGGTTTTCCTTCCCCTTTCTGGCCCCGCATGTGATCACTGTGTCAGACAACAAGGCATCTCTGTACAAGTACGTGTTCCCGCCAGAGTTGGAGCGCCACACCCTGGCCATTATTGGCCTGGTGCAGCCTCTGGGGGCCATTATGCCCATCTCTGAGATGCAGGCCAGGTGGGCCACCAGGGTCTTCAAAGGTAGGACTCCATTGTGTAGGTCGCGGTGAGAAATACTTTCTGCAATGGCTGCCAGGAACATAATGTAAACGTAGCATTACATAACGTAAAAAAATTAATAAAACAGAATTAAAATCCACTGTGGTTAAGCTGTTGACTGATCGAGATTTTGGTTAGTTAGAAGAAGTTAAAAACAAAAAAAAAACAAAACAAGAACAGCAGTGACATAAAGTAACTTGAACCAGGGAGTATTTATGACATCAAATTGACAGCAAAAATGCATTGGTCGTTTTTATTTTTGTACTATAGAATGTCAGTCTGTATTTTTTTTTTTACTTAGTTGAATTAGTATCTCTCTCTTTTACCAGTCTCTCTTGACACAAGTGTCTTAATTTTACTTCCGTTCAGAATATGACTACTTTTTCCGCTTCTGTCACTGTGTTGAGACAAGTAAACTTGACCTGTTTTGTGACATCATATTTTGTGGCATGCCCAGGCTGCATCAAGCTCCCTCCAGCGGCTGACATGCTGGACGACATCAAGTATAAGCAGGAAACCATGGCTGACAGGTAAGATGAGACAAAAATAAAGACCATGTGGCACCACTTAAGGTGGACTCACGTGTTCTTCTCCACCAAAGTCATCTATACAGTTTTCACATCAAAATAGTACAATGTGCTATAAGTCCTGGATTCTTGGGGTTTGGCCATTTAGTAAGTTGACCAACATAGTGGTATCTTGAATTAAGTGTCAAAATTTACCAGCAAGGTTATGATATGCCAGCTCTTTTTTATTTGCTTTATTAAAATCCGATTGCCGATTTTTGCCAATTGTTTTTTTTTCTTTAGACATTAACACATTACAACATAAGATAAAAATAATGACCACCCCCCAAAAAAAATCATCCACTTTTTGCCAATTTGACTCTCTGTTGTAAAGTTAAACAAGTTATTTTACTCATTATATTGTTTTTTTCATTGATGGACCAATTAATTGGTCATCTGAATTTTATTCTCCCAATTAGTGGAATTGGCATTGGTTGGGCACTAGTTTTTATACAACACAGTGCCAGTTTTCATTATTAAAACCGCTTAACAAAAAAATGCTGTTTTGTGTAGCTGGTTCATTCATTCATTCATTCATTCATTTCAATGGGGAAAATTGATTTTATGAATTGAGTTATAACCAACAAACTAACTGGTACAAATTTAACTTGTGAGTCAAGGTACCACTATGGAAGCACTGAGATGTTTCTCCTGTTTTTCAGGTATGTGAGTAGTCAGAGACACACCATCCAGGTGGACTACATGAACTACATGGATGAGATCGCGACGCCTGTGGGTGTGCGGCCCAAAATCCTCCGGGTTCTGTTGACCGACCCGAGGCTTGGCCTCAGCTTGCTCTTCGGCCCCATCACCCCGTACCAGTACCGTCTGCGCGGGCCCGGCAAATGGACCGGAGCCCGTCAGGCCATACTGACACAGTGGGACCGGGTGGCCCTGCCCATGCAGACCCGACCATGTGACCAAGCTAAAGCCAAATGCTCTCTGAAGTGGCTACTTGTTGTGTTGTCCACCATGGGCGTGGCTGTGTATGTGAACAGAAGCAACCTGGGTGCTTTACTACAAAACCCCGACACGCTTTTGGACAGGGTCAAGATGTGCCTGACCACACTGGGACACTGAAATAAATATAAGTGGTGATACACATTTAAATCATATAATTAATTCACTTGGTGAAAAGGAGATACAAACTGAAATATCACGTTTGGTGAAACCATTTTTTGTAGGACTGAAATTATATCCACACTGCGTTTTTTTAATTACTCTATGGGCATAGATATGTTGATGTTAGGACAATAAGCAATGCATTTTGATACATTTGCACCACAGGAAGGGATCAATTTTTGAACTGAGATATACACAATTGCAAAGAGGACCAAAATGTACCAGGATCCACCCACAATAATTGTGAAAAGGCAGCTCTTTTAAGCTATAAAATAATAACCTCTATTTCAGTTGAAGATAATAAATTCAGCAGAACTGTGAAGTAATCTGTCTCGTAATTACCCGAATGCACTTTTGTCGAGTTTAACGTTAATCTTCAAGAGAATGTATGGTGATGGCGAAATAGTGCCACCTACAGAGTCTCCACGAACACAACACCTGGCGCAGGGACTGGAAAAAAAGCGCCACGCTGCTATGTGTGACCCATCCGGCACAATAAAATATGGACATTTAAAAAAATTTTTAAAGGTGTATACTCGTCACAGACATCACATACATACATTCGCGTTAATGTATATTTTATTTTAAAAAATATTTTAATTAACTAGCCGACGAGCAACTGGTGAACGCCGGTAGAACCCGGAAGAAGATCCGCCCCACGTGATTGGATCACATTCAGGTTGCCAGGTTTGCATAATGTGTAAGAGGTCTGACACTTGCTCGTCATCATGACCCACAATCAACATCCACTGCACAGCACCGTCTCCAGCCGAGGACCTGACCGGCTGCTCTCGCTGTCCTGCTCCACTGACAGACTGAAGTTCCTTCCCCCACCTCAGGCGACTTTTTGATTCCACCTTGGGAGGGAAACACTAATATCACCTCGACTGTGTTCTATCCACATTTTGCCCCATAATTGCCATACACCTTATTGCATACCTGAAGACTTTTTGGAATTATGACTTTTATTTCTGTCTGAAATCTTGATGTTTGATAGATTTTACATTTAAGTTTCATTTAGATATGTTTGATCGTAAATATTTGAGTAATTTTCATATCCATAGGGAGTGCTGTTGAGAAAGGAGAGGCTTTAGTTTGCCAGCAGCTTAAGATGAAAAAAAAATTAACAACAGTACCAATTTGGCAGTCCAGTTTAAAATCATTGTCCAACTTGAAATGTGATTACAATTTAAAAATAATACACACATGGTACGTTTGCCTTACCTGACATAGTTTAGAATTGCCAAAAGTAACAAAATATGCATTCTACGATGAAAAAATATGCATTCGAAAAGTTTTTAGTTTTAGAATCCAACCTCCGCTAATAATTAATAGAGAGACAGTTGGTAAAATGTCCCGAGAGAGGGAGAGAGAGAGAGAGAGAGAGAGAGAGAGAGAGAGAGAGAGAGAGAGAGAGAGAGAAAGAGGGAGAAAAGGTGGTGGATACGATGACTTAAATCTGGCAACCGTCGAGCTTCCATCTTTGATTGTGCGAAGGGCCGCGGCGAGAGCGGGGCCTCACTGCTCACTCATCTTAGCGCAACGCTGTTGCTTCCCGATAAACGGGCGTGGACGCATCAGAGAGTCCCACCGGACGACGCCGTACCGGATACCCCGAGAGAAGCCCGAAGCCACCAAGACAGTTTGGTCTGCGAAACGCGGACGTGGACTCGGACGCCGTCGCAACCGACGAGCCGAGCGAGCTAACTAGCCAGAGCGGGGGTAACCAGCTTTTGTAATCCGCCGGCGAGATATCCAAAACTCGCCCCGCCGCTGCGAGCATTAAAAGCAAGGATTAACCCCCCCAAAAAAAGTAAAAAGGACAAAAGCAAGCACCGGCACTGGCAGGTAAGACTACCGCGGCCGAATGCAAAATGTCAAGTGTTTTCCCCCCCAGTAAGTGTTAGCTTGCCGCTGCTAGCACGCTTTCGGCCACTGGTTAGGGGCTCAACGAGGATGTGATGGCGACTCGTGAGAAGCGAAACCACGTTCAACCCAGTCAAACGGCAGCGGCCTGCTCTGAAACCACACCACTCGCCCTCACATAATTCATATTATCCAACAAATCCGGTCAGTTTTGCACAAGCATTCATAACGTGCCAGTTTTGCGTGCCGTAATTGTGCCCACCCACACGGTTGTGATTTTAGCCAGGAGGGCCTGCGCCGTGCACCGGCATGAGACACTCACCCGCAACCGGTGGTGACGGCTAGGCTAGCTGTTGAGCTCACGAACACAACGAACCACAACGTTAAAATTGCACCTTTTTATTTCATCGTCGCCGCCATCTTATGGAGTCAATCCATTGTAACGGATTGCCTTGCAGGCGAATGACTTTCAAAGGGGAGAAGGAATGTGTGGGCTGGGATGGGGAGGGTCCCTGTCGATGTCACTTTGACAATGAGGCTTCACGGTAGTTGAACGTGAGGAAGGAATCTTAATGCTTTCTGATTGATTGGTCACTCAATTACTAAGAGACAACTTGGGCCATTCTCAAAATGAAGGTAAAATGACACCATGAGATCAAAGTCATAAAGTTGCAAAGTCTTCATGTTGCAAGTTGTAATGTTAGTAAAACAAAGTATAATGTTTGATTGTCACAATTTGAAGCAGTGTTGCGAGAGAAAATGCCAGTCATGATATGAGAAGTTGTAATGTTATCAGGATAAAGTCAAAAGGAGTTGAGATTGAACTCAGTGATTGGAATGAAATGAGTGACGTAATGTTATCAGATAAAAGTTAGAATGTTAATAAAGTATAAAACCGATAATTAGGGAAAAAAATAACCCAAAAAAGTCTTCAAAACACACTGATAAACCTTCAGGGTTAAAATAAAAAACGAGTCAAGGGCGCGACCCACTTAAGTCAGTGTCTAACGGAATGAAATGAGTAATGTTATCAGATAAAATTTAGAATGTTAAAAGAATAAAGTATAAAACTGATAATTAGGGGGAAAAAATAACCCAAAAAAGTCTTCAAAACACGCTGATAAACCTTTAGGGTTAAAATAAAAAATGAGTCAAGGGCGCGACCCACTTAAGTCAGTGTCTAATTATCGGAAAAGCTTTCATTTATTACTTGAAGTGATGCCAACGACACACACTGCAACTGACCAGTAACTAATAAATTACCTGCGTATGTGTGTGACTTAGCTTCAAAGCTGTTTCTTTCTCACTGCCGCCACTTATTACACATTTAAAACCTTAACTATATTTAAGACATGAGAAAGCACACTCATAACAATGGGAGGGTGTGGTGTACTCAGACTGCCCAGTACAGCATAGCTCACACGACCATATTTCCACAAACTAGGTTTTCTAAGGTGTCGCATGATTGTTATTAAAAAAAAAAAAAAAACGCCGTAATTCTGCCTTATTTTCTTAGGAGCTGGTTCCGGTGGCTAGGCCAAAGGACCAGACTCAATGAGTTTCCAGCGAAATGTCCGAGAAGTCAGGGCAGAGCACCAAGGCAAAGGATGGCGGCAAAACCAAGTATGCGACCCTTAGCCTCTTCAACACCTACAAGGGCAAGTCTTTGGAAACCCAGAAGACTGCAGGTAGGAACCTCGCCTTGCGCCTCCTTCCACGCCGCAGGCTCTTTTGTCTGTATGACTGTCGAGAACTCTAATGGCCTCCTCCTTTGTGCACCAGTCGCTGCTAGACATGGGCTACAAAGTTTGGGTAAAGTTGCTGCCAGCAGGCGCATGCCCCCTCCGGCCAACTTGCCCAGTCTGAAAGCGGAGAACAAGGGCAACGACCCAAACGTTAACATTGTCCCCAAAGACGGCAGCGGCTGGGCATCCCGGACCGAGGCAGGAGACGAGAGGTACCATCTTCTCTTTTCATTTTCGAGGGTACTTTGAAAAGTTTGTCTTTGGAACCTTTTGCCTTGAATTTTGAATTTCTACCCCAGGCAACAAGAAACGCCCCCACCCCAAGCCAAACCAGCAGTAGTCCCGCCTCAAGAGGCTCCCACGGGGGGAAGCCGCTCATGGGCAAATAGTAAGCAGACGCAGTTAGATGGTAAGAGAGCCAATTATTTGAATACAAACCATTAAAAAAAACATTAAAAAGTACATTTTCATAATATATCCCCTTTATATTTTTAAAATGGTCTTGATAATGTGTATTGTGATGGCATAGGAGCTCCTCGCGTGAGCAGCCACTTCCATCAGGAATTCCCTAGCTTGCATGCCGCCAGCGATGGGGAGAAAGACGGCCAGCACGAGGAGGACGAGGAGCCATACGGACCGGGCCCCAGCCTCAGACCTCAAAGTATGGCCGTGGCTGTGCATTTTAGATGTCGCTTATTGTTTGTTTGGAGTCACGGGCCGCCTAATAAAGCGTTCCCTTTGTCAGATGTCGGCAGTTGGCGTGAAGGTGGCGGGAGGAATTTGAACACCGCGTCTAGCCCCTCTGAAATGGACAACAGGCCCCCAGAGGAGGGAGGTACCGGCCCCGGGGGAGGTGCCGGCCCCGATGCCTCCTCGACGCACGAGGATGCCGACGAGGCCGGCCGAAACAACTCGGCTGATAGCCAGAGGGAAAAGAGGGATGGCAGGGACAAACTGCAGCCCTCCGGCCCCTCTCAGCCTAAACTTAATGGGGGTCAGCAGCCACCTGCGGGCATGCATTCCCACTTTGACCCCACCTTCAGGAGCATGATGCCACCCTATGTACGTCTGGTACGGCAGCGTTAAACCATTCCGCCGGTTCCGTCTCACCTTTGTCGTATTTTTCCCGTTTCAGATGTTTCATGCTTATCCTCAAGTGTCACAAGGGCCGAGGCAAGCCAACATCCGATACACTTTGGCGCAAGATGGCGTCAGGTGGGTTCCTTCGTGAAAGGTGGTGTTTTTTCATTTTTGTGAAAGCCATTTCAGAATCACCGTTTGTTACTCACGCTGTGATAAATGAATCGTTTTTTGCGGGGCCTTACCATGGCCGAAAACTCCTCCCCAAAAATTTCAAGCATTTGTCTCCTGATTATCCCGGTCAAGTCGACCATTGTGGTTTGAAGTAGTGGAGAGCATATCTGTCTGTTTAATCCAGGTGTGGGCAATTCATTTTGCAAAGGGGCCATGTGAGAAACTGGAAGCTAACATGCTGACCTCAACTTTATTCTGTTATTTTTTATGTATTTAGAAGAAGCATATTGTTTCAATGAATTACTGTGTGTGTATACATGGTGTATGTATTGTTCTAATCAGGAAATGCCCCTCCCCCTCCCCACCCCAGAAAAGTGCCAGGGTGGTCGGAAAAGACACTAAATATAGCGAAAGCTCGCTAATTTGTTGCTGTTGCTCATACTTTTGTGCACAGAAA